CAACAAAATATAATACTAAACATAATTTTTTAACTTTTTTAAAAAATGTATTTTTAAAATATAAATGTAATGAGTCATATGCAGTATTTCCAAGTGCTTTTAACTTTATTTTGGGCACGAGCAGGGGGTACAAAATGTGGTGACTTTTGTGCATTTTTGCCAAATCTTAAGAGATCGTTAATCTACTTAGCTTTAATCATTTTTACTGCTAGCAATATATTGAGTTATTACTAAAATACTGGGAAAGCCATCAGATACTACTTATCTCCCTTCAGTTTTTACCCACAGATGAGAAATATTAAGCCTACTGTTTTTATGCTTTGTTGTTGTTTGGTGCCCTCTAGCCAGGTATGACTGGTAGCAACACTGATAAACAGATCTAAATCCTGTCCTAGCCTACTAAGGTACAGTAATTATTCAAGAGCTGCTGCTAATTCTAAGGCTATGTGCCTCTGTAGGAGTCTGAATACACTAGCAACTCCACAGGACAAAGATGCACAAGCTCTTCCCATGGTACTTACAGCCTCGGAAACCTTCTGGAATCTCAGCTATGAATCAGTTCCAACTTGAAAGCAAAGAGTTTTACGAGTAAGTGTGTGATATAATTAATTAGTACTAAATTAATCTAAACCTGTTTCTATACTGACATTCAAATATATTTTATCAGCATTGTGGATGCCGAATAAACACTGATGAAAAGCAAAAGTACAAAATGTCCATTCAAAATCTGTAATGATTCAAAGTATCTTAATAGATTATTAACACTTTACTTTTAAATCTAAGATTAGAATTAAGTAGTCAAGTTGGCAGTCAAATCTATCCAGGAAATGCTAATAATCTCTTTTGAACCTAAGTATTATTTACATTCAATGACAGCTAAAAGAGATTACTATCTCTTTAATAAGTTCAATAGTGGGGAACTCTGGTGGTCTAATGGTAAGGAGTTCTGTTGGCAACTCGCAGATATGTGGTGGGCATAAAAGGCCTCTGAAAACTCACTGGAGGGTCAATTACAGGTCAGTTCTAACTTGATGGTACATAACAAAAACAACAAAATATTAAAATTTTACATTTTATCATGGTGGGGTTTTTTTTGGTTTTGCTTTTTTGTTGTTTTTTACTACTTTATTTACAAAATTCTAATACATTGTTTTTCCAGATTCTTCCAATTTCCCTCACCCCCTCCCATCACATTGTACAACTCCATGATTAATCCTACCACCCTCTGCACATCTTCATCCCTCTGCTTCCAACCTCCTCTCCTTCCTCTTGGATCTTTATACTCGTTTTACAATAATGGTTTGATACAATATTTGTCCTTGTGGGACTGAGTGAGTTCACTCAGCATAATGCTCTCCAGTCCCTCCCAAGCTAGGTAAGTAATTTACAAAAGCATTGCTCCTGCATGCTGTGTAGTATTCCATTGCGTAAATATACCTAATTTCTCAATCCTTTTGTTTGTGGTTGGACATCTAGGCTGTTTCCATGCTTCTAGAAACACTGGTGTATAAGTCTCCGTTGGTGCCTCAGTTGTCATTTTCTCAGGGTATATTCCAAGTAGAGGAATTGCTGGGTCATATGGAATTTCTATGTTCAGCTTTTTGAGGAAGCACCAAACTGCCTTCCAGAATGGCTATACCATTTTACAATGTTATCAATGTTTTTAATATAAGTATTATATACAAAATTTCTTCCTTCTGATAGAATTGATCAGGTTTTTTAATGTATTTTAAGGGAAAAAATTCAGTAGGATGTTAACTAATTTTCTAAGCACTAAATGTTGCTTTCATCTCTCTGACCTTGTCTATTAAAAGTACTCATTAGCTTTCTTTCTTGAATGAGTAATGCATACATCAAATATGGCAGAAAATAACATGTTGTGTTTGAGTTCCATGGTGAGTAATATGTTGGCTGATAACTGAAGGGTTAATAGCTCAAATTCACCAGCTGCTCAACAGGATAAAGATGAGTCGTCTCCTCCCATAAAGATTTAGAGCATTAGAAATCCTACGGATGATTTTAAATCTAAGATTCAAAAGCTTGGATCAATTCCACAGCAGTTGGTTGGAATAAATAACTAGATTACTGGTTTCAATAAACAGAATACACACAATTAGAAAGTTCAATTAAGAATTTTTTTTAGCTGAGGAAAGCTCATTACTAGAATTTATTGGGTGCTAAATCCATCTCCAAATGGAAAGTATTTTTTAAAATTTTTTTTTCATGTTGTGTGAGACTGCCTCTCCTTCTCTAGCGGAGCATCTAGTAGATTGCAACCTCACACCTTCAGGATTGCAGCACTGTTTCTTGGCACTAGGCTAGAGCGCCCTTGAAAATATTTTTTTAAAAAGAAAAATATAAAAAATATACAAAAGCACAAATAACAAAACTGGATGGCTACTATCTTTCTCACAGCTTAACAATTAACAGCTAAAACAACAAAAGAAAATAACTTTTTTTTACTAAATAAAATGATTTAGCCAGCTCTGCCTGAAATAACGTTTTTTTACTAGCTTATTTACAAAATTCAAATGCATTGTTTTCACACCAGATCATTCCCATTTCCCTTACCTCCTACCCTCAAATTATACAACCCCATGATAACTCTGGTCCCTCCCTTCCTGCCCCCTCACATCCTCACCCATCATCTTCCACCCTCCCCTCACCTTGCATCCTCATACTCATTCTGCAATAACGGTTTATACAGTACTTATGCCTGGAGTACATTTTTTTACCTACTTAAGCAGCACAGCAAAAAGGGAATAGCAAGGGAAAGTGAGAGCTGTACAGCTAAAATTTGCCCTGTAACAAACAACAACTACTCAGACCATTTTTCTCTTAAGTATGAAACCTCTGCCTGATTATAAACATGAGAAATTAAAGTGACCAGTAATTTAAAAATCCAGTAGTAAAAAACAAACAGTAATTTAAAAATTCATAACTTAAATATATTAATTAATTCCTTTCAATATGCAACAACTTTTTGTTACTTACATAAAAATTTACCCACATAAACATGTCTTACAGACCATTAATGCTTATGTTAATAAAATCCATGAAAGATAAACACATTGTTAAATAAATGTATAAATATTATAAAATAAAAGTTACTAAAATTTGCACTACTTTCAAGAACTCTACCAACATACCCCATGTTGAGTTTTCAGGTTAAGTAAATGTGCTGCTTACACTAGTATCCACAATGGGCTGGGGCGTCGGTAGTTGTACCATGTATCTCCAGATATGAGCGGTCTGATCTCCAGAAGCTGAAGAGAAGAAATAAAAGGAGAAGTGATCCCAAGTGCAGAGCAGGCATAGAATGTACTCTCAGCTATATCTGACTACACAGTATTGGGCAAACTTGTATTTGACAATTATTTAAGTCAAATATGCTTACTGAAATGGCTCTTTCTAAAACTGCATAATATTATTTAGAATAAAGTAAATGCAAAATTAAAATGGTGATTTACTTACAAAAATTGTTCTACTTCCTCTTAGTGTATAAACTCATAGAGGTTTGTAAGGTATATAAATAGTAGATTTTATCTGCCATCTACCTAAACTAAATAAACTCATTATAGTGCTCGCTTCGGCAGCACATATACTAAAATTGGAACGATACAGAGAAGATTAGCATGGCCCCTGCACAAGGATGACACGCAAATTCGTGAAGCGTTCCATATTTTCGACCCTGAAATGAACCAGTCTGTAACGAAGGCTAACTCCTAACTCCTTTCACCTACAAATTTCGTCTTTGGATACAAAGCTAAGTGGATAGTCCTTACCGAGGGACTGTTTAAAAAAGAGGCAGGGAGAAGAAAAGAAAAAAAAATAAATAAATAAACTCATTATACTATAATTTGTCATTATACAGATTTGGAGTTGTCTCAAAAAATGAATACATAAGTGTATTTTTTTACTCAGTGAACATAGTGAGTACCTTATCATTTTCCAGGCAGCTATTTGTGCTGTCTTACTTGTGTTGCTACCCTTTTTCTCTTCTCATTTAAGTTTTCAAGGAAATGTTGATGTTGAATGGACCACTATAGTATAGTGGCATAGTCATCTTATTTGAATGTCTGTTTTATCTATTCAAAAGAACAGATATTCAAATATAAAGCTTTCAACATTCTTCCATTTCTTCCTCTCCCTTTTTGAAACATTCTCTAGGTTCCTTCTCTTTACTACTATAGATCTTCACAAAGGAAATTACTGTATATTGTAGGTCATTAATGATAGTGAGCTTGTTAGAGTGTCAAAGAATTTATTGCTCTGACTCACTATCTTTGAATCAAAATCATATACAAATTTCACTCTGACTCTACTAACTCCACCGCTTATTCTGTTTGAAAGTTTCTACACACGTCATTTTAAAATGTCTCTTGATTTAAATCTTTCCTTTCTCATTTTCTGGATTGAATATTCATACTTCTGATCAGCTCTTCATCTCCTTGCCATCAATTCCCTGACGGCTGCCTACCGAAACTGTCCAAAGTTTAAATTCCCCAGTCTACTTTAATCTTCAAATATTAAGGTGTAAGTTAAGCTACTATGATCTAAATTTGTCAAAATAGAACCAACTCTCATATCCTGCCATATTCCTATTATTTACAAAACCAAACCCGTGCAGCCAACTGAGCTATCACTACATCTCAGATGCAATGAAAAGTATTTGTGGTTTAGATTCTCTCCTTAAACCAGTAACTATTACACCTGCACAAAGCAGCATAAAGCATTGGTGCTCTAAACCACAGGTCAGCAAAATCTAGCCCACTGACTAAATATAAGCAGCCACTCATATTAGTAAATAAAGTTTTGCTGGAACAAAGCCACACTCATTCACTGATGTCTTACCTGTGGTTGTGTTTGAACTATAATAATAGAACCACATAATAGTTGTGACAAAGACCTACTGCCGGCAAAGCTGAAAATCTTTACTATCTGGCCCTTTCACCAGTAGTTCACCAGTCTAGGGGCTACAGCTCACTTATCCTTTAGTATTATTCAAGACTATCATCAGTGTAATAGTATCACAAAATATTTTGTGTTGTCACAGTCATATGTAATTAAGAAGAGCTCTAAATTTTACAGGAAACAACATCAGTGCAGTAACGCTACTCTCCTAACCCCACAAAAGCAGCAAATGAAGAAGATGTGTTTTCAAAAGCCACAGAATAAAGCAAATAATGACATTTCCAAAAACAATATAACTGTAATCCAAATTATTACAATTGAAGTAAATTACCTAGAAAGGAAATAGAACACTGACTAGCAAATTTCCAAATGTCAAAATTATTACTTTCCTCATTTCTTTATTTCAGATACAAATAAGGTTCAGAAAAATGATAAATATCATAGGCCTTCAAAGAATTCTAATTACATTAGAAACTACCATTGATCTTCACAGCATAAGCAGATAAAATATAGGCAATAATGAAATTATTATGGAAATACTTCAAGAAGATATTAATTTATTTTAATCTCACAACAAATTCAAATTAATCTAATGTATAATCCACTACTGGTTTAAGTACTATTCTGATTTCTTCTATTTCTCAATTAATTCACAAAATGGCAACTAAATAATATCTAATTTTTATAAAAGACTAGCGAATTCTGATAATGATTTTAAAATATGTATGGTTGTTTTAGACTAAATAAATAAATTTGTTCAATTAAAAAGAAAAAAATCAACATACCAGTGAGAGCTAACTGCTCCGAGGGGTGAAATTTTATAGAATTCACTGTAAAATAAAAATATTTAAAATTAAAACCATCTTAATTTTTTTTTTAAATCTTAATTTTAATTAGTCACAGTATGCATTACAAGATTAAAATTAAGAACTTAAAGATCTTGAAGTCTAACATATTGTCCCATTCAATTATACTATGAATAAATAGATATGTTAGAAAGAATAAAAGTAAAATACAACTTAAGCACAAACTATCAAACTGCCAAAGATAAAGAAATCACAGGGGGAAAAAACAAATCAGTATGAAAAAAGAGACAAGATAGTATTTCTAAGGAAGCTTCACTTTCTTGGAAAATGACATGAACAAGAGATTTCTAACATCTCCCCTTCCATCATTATTTTTACCTTCAAAACAGACATAATAGTGAAAGGTATGCTAAACAAAACAAGCATAAAGACAGAAATCATTGCACTGAGGGTAGTAAAATCCTTAATGATAGTGTACAGTTACTAAATCAATCCTCAGCCTATCCTAACTTCTACCCACAGAATTCTGTTGAGTAAATGACAGACCTTAGAATAATTTGAAAACTGTCAGTCAGGTAGTCTGCAATCTCTGTCAAAGCACTCACCATTGATACAATACTTAACTCCCTGTCATCCTGGGAAAAGTCTAACCCTAACTTCTCTAATATATAAAGAAAATGAAGGTCCCTTGCAAAGAGTAGAAAAAAAATTATTATCAAGACTGAATAAGTCATCCATATTAGAATATTTTTGTGATGTAGTAATAAAAATTATGCTAAAAACATACTCTTTTAACATTAACAACAACTTATTGCCACTGAGTTAGAATCAACTCACAGCTGCCCCTCCAGTGGGTTTTATAGAGGCTGTAAATTGTATGAGACTGCTGCTCATCACTGTCCAGAGTAGCAGCTGGTACATTTTAATCAGCTAAAACGTATTGCGATGGGAAAGTCTGTGGTTAGGGACCTCTCCAAAGTACTCAAGAGCAACGGTGTCTCTCTGGAGACTAAGGTCCACCTGATACAGGCCATGGTCTTTGCAATCACTTGTTATGCATCAGAGAGTTGGACAATGACTAGGGATGATAGAAGGAGAATTGACAACTTTGACCTGTGGTGCTGGAGAAGAGTATTGAATGTACCATGGACTGCCAAGAAAACAAACAGATTCGTCTTAGAGAGGGTTAAACCAGGCTGCTCCTTAGAAGCAAGGATTCTGGGGCTTCCTCTGACATACTATGGACATGTAAGGAGAGATAGGTCTTTAGAGAGGGACATCATGCTGGGTAGAGTAGAGGGACACAACAGGAGGGGAAGACCCTCTATGAGGTGGATTGATTCAGTGACTGGGGTAATCGGGATGGGTGTGTCAGAGGCAATGAGATTGGCACAGGATAGAGCAGGGTTTAGGGCTGTTGTACATAGGGTCGCTATGAGTCGCAAACAACTCGACGGCACATAACAACAACAACAACCTTTGTATTGGGCAGCACAATTTCTCAACAATGAGGACACCATTAAACTACAGATACTTATGAGAGGAATGGGCAAATAACTTGACCACTTTAAATAAAAATTAAACAATAAGCAATACTAAAAATAACTATGAATGCAAATCCTGATAGTTATTAAAATATGTTGCCATCAAGTTAATTCTGAACCTTAATTAATAATGACCATTATTCAAATTCATTTCCATCAAGCCAGAAGCAAATCACAAAAGACCCTCTAGAGGGTTTGCAAAGGTGTAAGTCTTATGAGAAGGATTCCTCATCTTTCTGACAGTCCTGCTCTTGGATTCGACCCACCAGAGACACCACCTTTGGGTCAGCAGTATGACTACCTATGGACTACACTACCAGAGCTCCCTCAAAGCTATTAAGTGTCCACTACTGTGTGCCCAATTCTCTGATAAGCACTTGACATGTTATTATTTCATTTAAGCCTAGAAATAACTCTTTGAGAAAAATCTTAATAATATTCCCAATTTTAATAAGAAAATTAGGTGGGCTACATGTTACAAACTTCCAATGCTAGGGCAGTTTTTACTTGTCATTTAAAGTTGTGCAAATGTTTCCTCACTTTGGATCAACTGAACGAAGTCCTACTCTGTAAGAAAAGTCCTCATCAACAATCACCTTTGCTCACTACATATGTAGCTTCTACATGACAGAAAAGAGTCTTCTCTTGTACTAACCTCAAAAACTAAATCCACTGCTATCAAGCCAATTCTGACTTAGAGTGGTCTGATGGGACAAAGTAGAACCGCCCGAAGGGTTTCCAAAGTTACAAATAGTTACAGAAGCAAAGAGCCACATCTTTCTCCTACAGAGAAGCTGGTAGGTTTGAACCCCTGTCCATTCAGTTAGTGGCACAAAACCCACTGCTGACTTTGTTGACTTCATCTGAACTCCCAGCATTTCTCCATCAGGTTTCTACTGCTATACATCTTTAAAGACAACTGCCAATCTTTCTCCCTTGGAGCAACTAAGAGATTCAAATCACTGACCTTCACATTTAGCAGCGAAACATGTAATGCACTTTATCAATTGAGGCTAAGCCAGACCGGTTCAAATTACCTACAAATTCAACTTAAACACACACACGTAGGTGTAGCTCTTGTTCACAACTAAGCAACAGCCCATAGGTCCTATGACACTGTAGTCCCTATGACATTAAGTAACTTGCTGAAAGTTTACAAAGACCTAACATAGTGAAAATTACCAAAATTACAATGTAACTGTATTAGGGAATGAAAACAGGTATCCATGTGCATAACAGGGCAGAGAAAATGGTTTTGAAAGATAGCTAAATCATCTTCCACAGAAGAAAGCCAAGAAGCAAATGCTAAAACAAAAATGCAGTAAAAACAGGAGACATTTTTTTTAAAGATATTATTAAAAATTCAGCCAAAAGGGAGTTCTGGTGGCCTACTGGCAAGAAGCTGTGCTGCAACCCCAAAGGCTCAAATCTACCAGATGCTTCACTGGAGAAGGAGGGGCAATCTCCTCCTGTGCCAGTCAGATCCAATATGATGGTACACACACACACACACTAAATGGAGGGGGTGGGGAAATTCAGCTAACATAGTTCATAATGGACAAATAGGATAGAAAGGAGAACAAATATGCCAGAGATTGCCATCATTCATGGCTAGCTTTAACGACACTGACATTTGAAATACTACGTACGTATAACTTCAACAAAAATGTCAAAGAGGAAATAGAACAATTTCCTCCACCAGTGATATTCTATTTTTCAAGACTCCAGAAATAGCAAAAAGGGAAATCTCACACAATTTACTCTTCTAGAGCAAAGGGGACAACCTCTAGTTGTTTAGAAAACCTAAAGAAGAGAAGGCAAGCAAGTGATACACTGAGAATTATCTCTTTATTTAAAAATTCCTGTTGGTTTGGCCAGTATCTTTTGTATAAATAACCTTAGCTATATAATCAGGAAACTATTTCATGCAAAAAAAGTAAGACAGAAAGTGTAAGTTCCCAGTAGGAAAAGAATGACAAATTCTGCCAAAAACAGATGTTCTTCTCTACTCTATTAAGTATTCGTAAAATGTAGTACTAACCCAAAAAGAAACACACATTTTCACAAAGCAGGACAGGGGAAGAAGAAATCAAATAACAAATAACATGAAAGAGGCATCAATAAGTACCGGAAGCAAAAAAAAGCAGATGGATGGTGAGATCAATTGAGCAAATACAGTAAGCTTGAAACACACTTAATGAAGGAAAAAAACATGAAGTAAAAAAAAACCAAGGATCAGAAATAAGTTGAAACTTCTCATTATGAAGATGCTTGGATCAGCCTGAAGATACATTAAGTTCACTGCTCTAGGATCATTTCTAAAAGCTGCATACAAATTAAATATATTTATATATTTGACATCATCAATAAGCAACTAGGCAGCCAGGAAATCCTAGAGAGAAGCACTGAAGTGAATCTCTACAATCTGGCTGCTTTTCCTCCCACGGAATTTGCTAATACCCAGCAAGGGCACAGAACACAGAAACAAAGCAGAAAACAAATGTGGCAGCTTAGACTAAGGAGCACGCTCAGTAGGTGGTTCTGGGTGATGTGTAACAGAATGAATCACTGCCCAGTCCTGAGCCATCTCCATTATCTGTGTTATGTTTGTGCCCACTGTCGAGGCTACTCTGTTAATTCATCTTGTCCAGAGTTTCCTTTCTTTCACTGGCACTCTATTAAACAAGAAGTCCTTTTCTAGTGACTGTTCTTTTCTCTTAAGTCCAATATAAACAACCCAAAGTGTTATTACCTCCGCTTATTGCTGTTGTTGTTGCTACGTACCATCAGCTATACCTCATGGGGACCCCAGGAACAGACCTGGACCTTGCCTTTTCCTGTGTCATCCTCATGTTCTTTAGCATGCTCCATCACTGTATCAATTCATCTCCCAGAGAATTATTGTCTCTTTTGCTGAACATCTATCTTTTCCATAATGATGTCTTTTTCCAAGGACTGGCCCTTCCCAACAACATGTCCAAGCATGTGAGATGACGTTCCCCACCCTTGCCTCTAAGAAGCATCTTCGTTGCACTTCTTCCAAGACAGATTTGTTTATTATTTTGGCAGTCCATGAGATATGCAGTACTCTTACTCAATGCTATGGTTTGGAAGCATCAATAAATCTTCTTTATTCAATGTCCAACTTTCTAATGTATGGAAAGTAACTAAAAATGCCAGGACTTGAAATAGGAGCACCTTACCCTTTAAACTAATATTCTAATTCTTTAGAGGTCCTTGACAGATGAATTCCTCAATGCAACACATCTTTTACTTTCTTGGTTGCTGCTACCATGGATGTTGACATACATAAAATTAAACATTTAACAAGTTATCAGTCTTTTCTCCATCTATTATGATAGGCAACAGCCTACTCAGTGGTGAAGATTTTTGTTTTCATGATGTTAAGATGATATTCACATTGAAGATTATCGTCTCTGATCTTCTGCAATAAATGCTTCAAGTCTTCTTCACATCACA